CCATTTTTCATCATAATCTGGATTACCTAAAATTATCGTGAACTGTGCCTTTAAGCCAAATTTCACGACTATTAGCACTGTTAACAAGGACATGAAAACAGAACAGGTTTGTTGGAATTTGAAGCCTACTACGTATAGCGTACGTATAGCGTATCGAAAGGTATGCGCGAGTGCTGGTCTTGGTCTTTTCTGAGTTTCCGACATATTCTCGTAGCTTTGCCACTGCCCGTAAGAGTGCTTCTAAACATGCTTCAAACCTATTCAGCTGCTCTGAAAAATACCAGACCCGCCTTTTTCCAGGGTTGTGGAGGTGGCATTTTAGAGGTGACGGTTCCTATACCCAAATTTTTACGTCATGGCAGAGGGCTCACGGCAATTACCGTATACTTTCACAGGGAATTCAAATCGTCCCCTATTAGGGGCGCGGTTTGGGTGCAAAAACCCACGCCCCAAGTGGAGTAGGAAAAGTCTGTGGTAAAGAATTTCTCAATCGTCAATAAATATATCTCAATGGGAATATATAGAATGTAAATAAAAAGCTCATTGACCTTACAAAGCTTTCATACGATTTCCAAACTAACTTTGAGCCTGTTCCATACAAGCTGCCTCTCCTCGTCTCGGGCGCATCGGCTCATCCTACTGAACGTCTCATAAATGGACTCAGTATATAGGATCAGCCATTGGCTATCTTTTCTGTAATTTACAAACTGTATTTATGAATGATGCTGTGGGCACCATGAATAACAGCTTAAGTCTTTTTTTCCAAATGTAGAACCGCAGAGGTTACTGGTTAAAAGGCATGTGCTTTAAGTGGGCTAAATGGGAGCCTAACATTATTACGGACTACTGGTCCAGCTCTTTCAGTTGTTTTTCTTCGATCAGTTCTCTATAGCCACTAGGGGTAACTTTCCTTTGTAATTGGTTTTCTAGTAACAATGGGTTTAATTAGGTAAATAGATACCCTTTTTGGAGGGGAACGCGGTGACATGATTTGTTTATTTATTTGTTTATAGGGAAACGTTGTTGGAAAACATACAATTTTCCAAGGAGAGTTGTAGGAATTCAATGAGTACCCACGTGATGGATGAACAGGTGACGTTTGGGACACTTAATCGATGAAAAACGTCTGTGAGCATNTCCATTTCTCACCAAATCCTAATTAGACGAGTTAGACCCCGACAGGTTACTAGATAGATAGCTTCCTTTCCATATCAAATACCACATCTCAAAAGTAACCAACGCAATAAAATGGTTTTTTGTCATCATCACTAAGCAACGAGCACATCAACCAGTTCAATGGCCAGAGAGCTCCAGATAATTCAATGTAGTAAAATGAAGAGAGAATCAAAACTATTGGTACTCACACAGGTTTGAAGTTTTCCAGTACACCAATACAGACGTTGCACGCCTCCTTTTTATCTTCGAATGAGCAACTGTAAACGATCCAATCACAGTACAAAACAATTGTTTTATTATAATTTTACTTTATATGATTATGGTTGACTGCGAGTGGTTTATCTCCACACACTTCGTCTACCAATTAAATAAAACTTCATACAAAAACGAAAATACTTCTGGTCAGATGGACCTATCACTGATCATCCGACAATGACTTTTACCTACTACAGTGCGCGTCAATTGCATATGCCACCCCCACATTTTCCTGTTATCTCGTCTCCTACCCACTTCTGTCACATGTGACATACTGCACTATAATGGACTGTGTCAGAGACTCACATATACGAGACAGACACCTGATCAGAGAAACAGCTTCATTTTTAAAGTTCATTTTAATAAATGTGCCGCGTCAAAATTATATGCCATGCTTCAACACATAATGAAAAAAACAGAAAAAAGCACAATTGGTAAAACATTAATACTTAGTTAGACCACCTACTTCACGAATAATTTCGAGGATTCTATTTGGCATACTGTCAACGAGATTTTGAATTACACTTTCTGGAATTGAGTTCCATGCACTTAGAATGGCTGCTCTCAGTGAAGAAACACTGTCATACTGGACCCCC